CATTTGAATAAGTAGACTGAGGGAAGAAGATTGCCCTCCACAGTATGAGTGGACTTCATCTAATCCACTGGAAGTTTGACTAGATCAAAAAGATGGAGTGAGGGAAGATGTGCCATCCCTGCCTGACTGTCTTTGAGCTGGGACGTTGGTATTCTCCAGCCTTCAGTCTAGGACTTGGACTGAAACTGACACCACAAGCTTTCCTGGCTCTCAAGCCTTTAGACTTGAACTGAAACTATATCACTGGATATAGTTTAAAGCTCAGTGACTGCAGCTCCTGAAACTTCTCAGCCTCTATAACCATGTAAGCCAATTACTTATTATCTATCTATCTATCTATCTATCTATCTATCTATCTATCTATCTATCTATCTTTCTATCTCTCTATCTATATTTCTAGCTATATCTCTATCATTTATCTATATCTATCATCTCCTAGTACTTCTGTTTCTCTTGAGAATCCTGACTAATACAAGCATCTTCTCTCTACTTCATTCTCTTCCCATTGGGACCTCTGTATGAAAGTTGTGCCTGGAGACGGCCCTGGGAGAGACCAGGAAAAGAGAAAGAAGCAGATTTGGGGCTCTATAAGTAATTTAAATTCCAGGTAATTTAATGATATGGGTGGGCTGGAAGAAATGGACACAGGGCCAGCTTCATGGTCATGCAACCTATGCATTTACTAGGGCCTGCACTCAGGAGGGTTCACAGTTGGCTTAATGCTCTGCTGTTGCAGTCTTGAAATTCTTAATAAGCTTCAAATAAGGAGTGCCACCATGACAAGTCCCTTAAAGAAATGTTGATTAGTATAGGAAGTGACAACAATGACTATTGGTACATAAAAATCTAGATAGTGTACTCCAAACCCTCCAACCCCTCCCCTGCCTCCAACTCCCATGAACTTAGAAGCCAGGGATTCAGATTTCTACTTTTTTTTTTTGAGTTGGAGTCTCACTCTGTCACCCAGGCTGGAGTGCAGTAGCAGGCTCATGGCCACTGCAGCCTCAACCTGCTGGTCTCAGGTGATCCTTCCGCCTCAGCCTTCCAAGTAGGCAGAACTACAGGCCCATATTACCACTCCTGGCTAATATTTTGATTTATTATAAAGACGAAGTCTCACTAAGTTGCCCAGGCTGGTCTCAAACCCCTGAGCTAAGGCAATCCTCTTGCCTTGGCCTCCCAAAGTGCTGGGATTACAGGCTTGAGCCACTGTGCCCAGTCCCAAATTTCTACTTTAAGCAGCTACATGAAGGAAAAGGGAAAGTGCTGATTACACTTTCCCAATGGGGCAGGGGGTGGGTGGGAGGGAAACATATAATGTAAATCCATTCTGGGCCCTCAGACTAAGTTTCATTACCCTTTGTAATATAAACCCTTCTCTTCAGAACTGACTAAGAAGTTAAGTAATGTGAATAGTCTGGCAAGGCCTTCATACCCCCCCGGAGAGAGAATATGATCTCCCCAGCAAACCATGGTGAGTCAAGTGCATTTTGCTGGATGCACCATCAGAATGCAGCTTGCTTGGGAGTAGGTTGTGAGGTTGTCCTGTTGGCTGCCGGGCTGGGCTTGGCCAAACTGTGCATGCGAGTACCAGATCCAGATATGCTTACAGCACATGAGCTAGGGGAATGATTTCAAGCTTGTTGTAGTTCATATTCTCAGCACATTTGAGTTTTATGTAGCCCTATCCTTTTTTTTCCAGGAGGTCTGGCAGTCTTCAAATGACAAGACTTCCCAACTTAGGGACCAAGTGTTTTTTTTTTGGATGATTGGTGAAAGCAAGTAACTGGTAAGGCCTGGGAAATAACCTTTCTATGGTCTCCTTGTCACCTTTATTTATATAGCTGCAAACACTGCTCCTGAAGTTCTTTATGACCTGCAACATAAACAGTTTTAATCGATGGATTTTTCTTCTCTCCATCTGCCACACACACACACACACACACACACACACACACACACACACACACACACTAGTGCACTGAGTATTCCTCCCTCTATCTGTTTAAAAGAGCCCCACTTTTCTTGAGAAAACTCATTTTTCCCCATTCCAAGTGATCTGCATAGGATTAGTGATCTTTTTGTCATTCCAATAATTGTCTTAAAGGTTCTGTCCCTTAGTCTTAGGTACCAAGATTCCCAGAACTGCTCTACTTCCCATATGCTAAGTGTTCAATGCTCATTTTTAATTCTGTGGGGGTATTTAGGACTTATTACTAAACCTCTGTTGTTGTTTTTTTTTTTGCTTAAGCGTATCAGGGTAAGCTATTGGTATGGGAAGGAATATCATTTTGGAGGGCCTTTTCTACCCCAATTTTCTTAAAATAACATCATAATCATTTTCCTCAACAGCCTCCTCTTAAACACAGCATGGCTTCAACAATTCTAGGCATTAGATCCTCATATGACAGCTTCTAAAAGCAGGGAGGGAGAAGGGAAAGAGTGATAATGACAAAGAGAATTTTCTGTACATATCTCTTATCGGGGAGGAAATACCTACCCAGAGTCCCCAGGAGACATCATCCCTTTGCTACTTATTGGTTAGACCCTCAGGAAAGTCACTGGCTAAAGATTATGAACTACTACGATTGGCTTAGATTATTCATGATTCATCCACTGGGGTTGAGCACAATGCTGGTAACACAGAATCAGGGTTCTGTCAGCAAAGAGAAAGAGACCATGACTGATGTTGCAAGACACTCAGTGTTTTGGCATCTTGGTGCATTTATCTGAAGTTATATGTAGGATAGTTTTAATATTAAAGGTAATATATATGAAGATCTGAAAGCTTGTTCAGTACTAATCATCTTTTAGGCACAATGGTAGGCAACAAGAGAAAGAATTAATAAAGTCTCAGTTAAAAACATTACATGAGTTTAACAGGTAATGCAGGTCATTAAAAAACACCATATCTATAAGCAGCATATAGTTAAGTGTGAATAAATGCAGTGAAAGCAAAATATCATTGATTCTCTTTATTAATGGATTCTGTATGTATTTGCAAATTTGTTTACTTGTTAAAATTTATTTGTCACCCCCAAATCAGTATAGGTGGCTTTCATAGTCATTTGCAGACATGCACAGAGTCACAAAAAATTTGAATCACCTGATACCTGTTCCCAACTGGGGTCAAAGAAAGTGATTCCCTCCCTTTTTATTTCAGTTAGCATACTGTTGACATGTATCCTTTTTGTGGTGTATTTAGGGCCATGTTTTTACATTTGTGTGCTTTATGTTGGTGACTTCACTGTTTAAAATGGCTCTGAAGCATAGTGATGAAGTGCTGTTTAAGTTTCCCAAGCACAAGAAGACTGTGATGGGTCTTATGGAGAAAAATCAGTGTGTTACGTAAGCTTCATTCAGGCATGAATTAGAGTGCCATTGGCCTTTGAGTTCAATGTTAATGAATCAGTATTATATATTAAATAAGAGTTTTTAAATGGAAAAACATAAAACAAGCTTATATATTGAATGAGTAGTGAAAATTTTGCAATCAGAGGCTTACAGGAAGCTAACCTTGTATTTCTTCTAGGAGCAATGATTCAGTATTCACTAATGGCAACATTATAAATGTTAACAACTGTGAAAATTGGCTTTAACTATATATCTTTTAATATAAGATATTTATTTTATGAAATAAAAAGATAGAATTTCTGTAGACAAATTATGAACATGTTCCAACTCCGGGGGGGTGGTGAGAAGAAATGAAAAATGATTATTAACTTTAATAGCAAATGAGAGAAAACTTGTTGGTGTGAGTGAAGGTTTCCATTCAAGATGTTGACAGCAGTGTGGTATAACATGTTGACAAATGGAATACAGCCTAATTGTGCAGCCCTAAAAGATTGGCTTGATAAATTTCTGTAACTCCAAATGATTATTACTCAGGCATTAAGTATGTTGTGGAAGAATATTTAATAATCTGGAAAATTATTTACAATGTATACAAATTGTGTGTACAATATGATCTCAGCTTTGTATCAAAACCTGCTATATGTTGCATATGAATTATTTGTGTGTAAAAATTAATTAATAGAAAGACTCCTAGGAAATATGTAAAAATGTTAAAAGAGGTCATTTTGGTGTGGTGAAATTTTGAATACGTTTTAGTTTCTTCTTTCTGCTTTTCTCTCTATTCCAAAATTTCTAGCTAGAATAACAGAAATAAAAACAGTAGATAACATTCAATTTTTTTTTCTGATCCGCTACAGTTTATTGTTACAGCAGAAGTTGTGGGAGACAGGAGGGCACCCTCCACACATAATACAGTGTGGCCAGAGCCCCAGGGTAGCCCTTTCCACCCCGATGCCAAGCCCCAAGCAACCCGGTCCAAGCTTAGCTCCCTCCCCAGCCCACTCTAGATGCACACTGATGCACACTGATAGCTACCAAGATTAGTGCAGCCAAATGGCCCAGGCCCCTTCCTCTTGCTCTAGTGCCAATCCTTCCCCCATTCCAACTTCCTTTTTACACACTGAATGTTTCTGTCACCTCCTGAGGACCACTAGCCTACCAGCAAGTCTCCCCCTGACACATTCATGTAGGCCCATACCCCTCAGAAGCCTGAAGGGCTCATGAGAAGCCAAATCAGCTTTGGTGAATGCAGCTCCAGCCCCAAATCCCCTGCCCTTGCAAAGATGGGATAAGTAGGGAGAGTCGGATGGAAGCACCATGACAACTACAACAACCTCTTATCCCTCGTCTACAGACACCTAGATCAGGGAGAAAGGATACATGCCGTCTCCACCTCAACTCCAAAGTGGGGAAGGAGGATCATTTAGGGGTCTGGGTCCCTAAGAGATATTAGAACACCTCTCCCAGGGGCTGAAGGGAATCACAGGTTAAGGTCAAGGTTAGGGTAGCAATCAAAGATCAAGTTTGTCTTCCCAAGTGATCTGCCCATTTTCCCTTGCGTATTCTGGCCCAATGCCCTTCTGCACCTCCCAGGTTAGTTCTGGGGGAGGTGTGGGCTGGATCCCACACTAGGGCAACATGGGCATTCAACATAAAACTTCCATGGTGTGCCCTGGGGGCCCAGAAGAGAGAGCCCCAGACTCGCTGCTCTGAGACAAGGTGCGAGAGCGGGACCGGTTGCCTTCCATGGATGCTGCACTGGTCAGAGAGGCTGTGCGAGACCGGGAGAGGCAAGTCATGCAGGATGAGGCCATTGTAGCCCATGCCTTGCAGGAAGTACTTGAAGGCCTCAGTCAGCTTGCCTGGCTGAGTCAGCTGGGGTTGACCTCCAGAGTTGGCTATCTTGAGGAACAAGGTCTGGGTGGGGTCCAGTTTTGAGTTACACTCCACCACTGCATCTTCATGGGGTGCTTGGTCTCCTACCACCAGCATCACAGGGCACTTGAGGGTGATATCACCTCCACGCTCTAAGTTCAGGTCTCGGCGGTTGTTGTAGCTGTTCCAGTACAGTTCAATGTCGTCCAGGTTGGGTGCATGTGTAATGGTATTTCTGTACTTTTGTATCAACTCGGAATTTCCAGACAACTCTTCCTGGCTGAAAAGATGTCCGAGGATCATCTCTGGAATGGAAGAAGTGAGGCCCGTTAGCTTGTGGGCTGCCCAATCCATCCAACCCTTGGCATTGGGATCAATGTTGATGAGGACAAGACCTTCAACTGTGTCCAGGTGGTTAAGAGCATATCTCGACAGGATGTATGCTCCAGCTCCAACACCAACTCCAATTATTGTAGAGAAATTTGAGTACTGCAGGATGCAAGGGATCATGTCTGCAAGCTTGTCCAGAGATGGGTACTGATACCCCAAAGGGAACACAGGAGCCCCCTCTTCCATTCCAGGGGCATCCACATGAACACGCACGAAGTTCTGAATGATTTCCTGCATATCCCCAAATTGAAACAGTGGCTGGAAGCAAGATTTATAGTTGAGTTCCACATCGTGGTAGGTGAGTATCACTGGGCGTTTGGGCTTGGGGGTGCCATAGACAGTAAACGTGACAGAGCCATAAGGTGTCTCTACAGAGTGAGTCTTGGCGGTTTTTGGTTTCTGTCCTGGCAACAGTGGCTTCTCCTCAGTGATCTGCACCTCCTGCAGCTCTGCCATGGTGACTGGGCTTCTATTGGATGGATGCAGTGGGATTAGGGGTCAGGGTTCTTGCTCCTCCCGACTCTGGGGTCTGCTGCAGCCGCAGCCGCTTCCACCTTCACTTGCCTTTGACTCGGGGCCCGCCAACATTCAAATTTCTTAACAAAAGTAAATATTCCCCAAAACTTAAGTGGTTATCTGTCATCCTGAAGCACAGAGTGGGATTGGGTGAAGGTTAAAGAAGGTATCCTGGACAGTGATGAGGTTCAGAGACTAATTTGGGAGATTTAGCAACTTTAATTATTATTGATCTTTATTTACCTTGCTGGAAGATTGTAAATAGAACCTTAGCAGAAAACATTTTTATCTGGCAGCTATAAGTAGTGAGAAGATCTGCTTTTTATGATGGCAGAAAAATGTTTAAGACCCATGGAGATTTGTTTTATCCTTCAGATCACTGTGTATTATATGAAAACTGGAGAGTAAAGAAGGTATCTGAGATAGTCTGTGAAACAGAAGTTAAGATGGGATTCTCTGCTAAGAATAGCATCCAAAATAAATTTGCCAAGTTCTACATATCATAAAATGAGATGATGGACCAATTCATTGTTTCTTTTTGGATACTTTGATGGGGACCAATAAGGCTAAGTAAAAGGATAAAACATATATATTTTTAATCATGCTGAAAGAAACATGCGATTAGAATAAAAATACAGAAGAATAGGAAGGATAAAATACCTATAATTCCTTGCACAAGAGAACACCTCGATTAATGATTAAAAACTAAAGTAAAATGAAGGCATTCTGGTCAAGGCAACAACATTAACCTTTGGTTAATTTTATTTTATTACAATCTCATTATATTACATGCTCACATTATTTTTAACCCTCAACATAGTAAGCATTTTCACATGTTATGGTAAACTGCCCAATATAAACCAAAGATTCCTTCCTTCCTTCCTAGTTTTAGTCATTTAGGTTATTTTCTCCTCTTCCTCTTCCACCCCATGCATATAATAAATAAATTAGAAAGAAAACACCTTTGTGTGGAAAGGATTTTCCATCCAACTGACAGCTCTCTGACCTTGGACAAGTCCACACCTCTATGATCTGAGTTCCCCTACCTGTAAAATGAGCTGGTTAAATTAGAAGGTTCTAAGGTCACTTTCAGTTCTGAAATTCAATGATTCTAAGGTGTGCATGGTCTAGCGTGTGACCCCTCTTTAACCCCTGTTATTTGATTCTGATCTTTGACTCTTCTTACTCATCCACCTGTCTTTTCTGTCATCTTGTATTTGAACCAAACCAGTTCATGCCATAGCTCCTGACTGAGCAAAACAAGCATCCAGGTGCTTTTGTGAGACCACCACGTCTCATTCTGAGCCCTTTCCCAGTAATCTGTAAGCAACATATCCAGGCGGCACAGGACATAATCCTCTCTTAGACCCTGGAAGTTGATTTGTTTTGATGACCTCTATCAGGTGGAGATAAAAATGAAAGATTGTGCTCAATGCCCCACATGATTAGTATAGCAACTGCTTCATTAAACCCCAGCTACACTTTCCAAGTCTTTCCTGGCTTAGAGGGAATACTAGATGGTAAACCCCAGAGCCAGTAGCTGTGCTTTAAGCCCCCAAACAGCAATACCTAATGCATGTTTGATTCTGACCCAAAAGGAACGTTTCTAACATTTCTCTGAAAGCTATAGACAGGGAATCAATAATAAAATCAATGACAGAACCCGTCTTTGATGTCTGGGACAGATATACAAGGTAACAGATAAGTTTTGGATAGTTTAGGGAGGGGAAGAACAGAAAGATCAATGTGAGCTATTTCGAGCATTGGTTGGTAAGTTTCAAAATGACAGTGAGATTGAGGAGGGGAAGTAAAAATGACTAAGAGGCAACAGGCCCAGACAATGGATGCAGTCAGAACTCTAAGGGGAGATGACGTTCACTGAAAGAGACACAGACAGAACTCTAGCAGGTAAAATTTAGATCTTTGTGAGGTGTTGTCATGACTGTGGGAAGGCAACACTTGGGTGAAACTATCCTCCCAAAGGAAGGGAGTTGCGACTTATTTGAATACTGTGTGATTTGGGGGCAATCCCTTCAGGTCCCTTCCCACTGTGGAAGCTTTTCTGTCCTCTCAATAAATCCTATTTTCTAAAAAAAAAAAAAAAAATGTGTGTGATTTGGCCAGACCCAGAACTCACTGCAGTTTGTCTTTTCACTATGGAGGACCTCCCATGGGAAAATTTGCAAAACAACAGAAAACAAATTTTTGGTCCTAAAATTAAAAAAAAAAAAAAAATAGAAAGGACCATGCAAATATAATATTTGACAAGAAATCAAGAACATCTGACTTATGTACTAGACCATAGTCACGTTTTTCAATAAAAGTTCTGAAGGAGCTACAATAGTAATAAACATTTATGTAGCACTTGCTTTGTGCTTGGCACTATTATAAGCACTTTAAATGTATTAGCTTCTTTAATCCTCATAACCAATATCATGCCAAGAGTCATTCACTTGGGAATGGAAATCAACCTAAAGGATGCAGAGTGTGAGGTGGAGAAGGAGATGGTGGGTCAGGGATCAAAATCTATGACTATGGAAAAGTCACCAGGAGGCTTGTCTGGGACAAAAATGAAGAAAGATAGAAAGTGTCTTGACTGAGTTGCTGGGTTCATTCACTTGTTCACTCAATGTTGAATAAGATTTATTACAGGGTATGCCAAGGTTCAACTTTAAAAATAATGCCAAATTGTTCTAAATGGTGCTTATGTTCCTACCATCGATGTATACAAGATCTCACTGATGCTTACCATTCCAATGCTTGATCTTAATAGGCTTTCTAATTTTTGATATTTCAAATAATTTTATAATAAATTATATCTAATTGTGCCTTAATTTGTATTTCTCTCATTATTCTTACAGATGTGTGCTAGTAGACATATACAAGATTGTTTATAGCAACACAATTCATAACAGCAAAAAGCTGAAGACAATTGGGGTATTCATACAATGTAATGTCATACAGCAGAGAAAATTATAGAACATAGACAGTATAATGTACTTTTTACAAAGTTTGAAAGCCAAAATGATAAATTGCTTAGGCATTTGTATGTAAAACTCATTTTTTAGAAAGCAAGGAAATGAGAAAAAGAAAATTCAAGATGGAGAAAAAAATTCAAATTTTCAGTGGGGGTAGGGTGGGGTAAAGAAAGAGCACAGAGATGAAGTCATTGACAGTGTTCCCATTCTTGGGCTGGGTGGTAGGCTCATAGATAGATGCTCATTATAAAAATAATTAAATTCAAGAGAATAAATAAAATGAAAGAAGGTCATGCATGGATTACTATTGATGTTGTTTCATGAACCAAGAATTATGAATGTTCCAATTCTGTGTGCCTTATTCAAGAACACAAAATAAAACATTTATTGAGTTCCTAGTAAGAGCTGGGCCTTATGCTCTAGATTTGTTCTGCAATAACAAGCAACCCCCAACTCTCAGTGAGTTGCAACTACAAAGGTTTTTTTTCTTCATCAAATTGTATGCCAACTATGGGTCAACAAAAGGCCTTGGCTTAGAGAGCCAGGCTGATAGAACAAGCAATGTCTTGGATGCTGCTGGTTACCATGTGTTGATCTCTTTGCCGTTCAATAGATTTTCAGACTTTTCTCCTTTAACTTCTATGCCTATGTTCAGTGGATGGAAAGAAAGGAGTTGAGAAGGGGCAGTTGTCAGGAATACTAAATATAAGCTTAAATAAGACATTAGGCTTAACAACTTAGGTTGAAATACTACTAGACATAGAATCTTCAATTTTTGATAATGTTTTAGTCATACACACACACACACACACACACACACACACACACACACACACGCACGCACCACAACACAACACAAAATCCTCTTCTATACATTGAAGTCACAGTTTCCATAGTCCATTCAGTTTCTAGCTCTGGTTGTATTCAGTAAAAGATCTTTTTACTGGTGGTTGCCATCCCTTGCAATCAGAATGATTCCTTTTTTTCTTTTAATACAATAGCTGAGCTTACTCAAATGTCTCTGCTAATTTGTTGAACTTTTCCTTGATGGTCCCTTCAAATCGATTAGTAAAACCAGGATGTGCTAGAGCTTTACAGAGTTTCAAGCCCATTTAGAGATCTCTCACTGCACGTAATTATAAGATTATTGTCCATTTTTCCTTCAGCCAGATTTATTCTCTGGTAAACGTGTGCAACTGGGGTTCTTTACCTTAGTGAGACTCTTTCACTCATCCCCTAATTGATCCACGAGCGTAGGCTCCATTGTCAGTTTCTGGTTACCTAATGATGATCAGCAATTATTGTTTTCAATTACTTATTCAACATACATTTTTCACTCATATTTTTCTAGAAATTTCATGTATAAAAGTCTAAGTATGCACTTAGCATAGCACTTAGTAAGCACTCAATAATCATGAATGTAATTATTAATAATTAAGTACAATGGAGTCTGTACTTAGAAATGATCACCACTGGCCACTGTTAAAATGGGTTTTACAAGCTTCTCCACTTTGGCACTGTAATTACCTGCTCTTAACAGCAGCAACTATGAAACAGAAAAAGGAAGTCACACAGTTTAGCCTGAGGTTGGGAAAACCGTAGGAAAAGGAAAAGGTCCCTTAAGAATCTACTGAATATTAAGACCATGTTTTTTCTCATTCCTCTTTCTCACAAATTGCCCATCTACTGGGTAAAGATGTTGCCCCAGGAAGATCATCATGTATGGATGTGGTCTCTGAAAAAGTCTTTGCAGAAATTTGAGGAATGTTCTTTTAGCTGTAATAGGCATTCTTCCCCTTTTGAAATATTGCTGTATTATGCCTCAGAAGCAGCAGGAAAGTACTATAGATCTGCAAAACAGACTTTCAGCTTGTGACAAAAGGAGCAAAATGTCTATTTTTCCTTTCCTATCTCAAAGGCCCGGTATCAGTCCTGATACACTTGCTTTGTCCAGCGCCTCCACTCTGACCTAATTTGCAAAGCCCTGCAGCTCTCTTCTGCACACTTTCCCATGTGAGATTATTTATCTTCTTTCACAGTCAACTCGGTTTATGTGAGAAGAATGCTCCCTCAAGTTCTGTTG